GCTGTTTAAAGATCCTCTAACCGCTGGTCAATGGATTGAAAGGTGTATTAGATCATCGTTCAACAAATAGCAATCTGATCGCTTTTGCTTATTTATTGTAGAAGCATCTGTCATTACATACATAGAATTCTCATTGACTATCACTACTATATTACATGTTGATCAAATATGTACGCAAGATTTTATGTGGTCTTCTTATTGCTCCTCACATCCATAGCATTCCATTGGAACTGCTGTCTGATCGAGTATATTCTCAAGTGGCTGCAGTTTCTTGAAAAGCTCGTAGGCAAGCATTGAATCCTGAGTACGGCGATAGTATCATTAAGGTATGGCTCGGTATGGTAAAATAGTGTATAAAATTCTTTATGGTAAACCTTACTTTCAAACAATACTTTGCTAAACGCTGTCTGGTATACTCATCGCCCATTTGTAAACCTGGAATTTCGAAATAATTCATGTGTTCTTTCCGGTCGCCTATTAAAGGAATTAAGTCAGTTTGTGAAGTTTTGTATTTGTCTCTCGATGATGGTATCATTTCAGTGGATGATAGTCAATGATGCCATTTCTCACGTCACTGCTACATACCCAAAAAATGATGTGATACTGCATCTAGCGTATACCTGGACAAGTTGGGATACTGTTCCTTGATATAATCGTACATATCAATAATCATACGTCCTGGAACATCTTCGACAACAGCTGGTTTTCTCCCTGCAGAAGGCTTGATCACTACCTTTTCGTCTAACAACATGTTATTATGTACGTGCTTACGTTACAATTAGTGTTTGTCTTGCCTTTACTAACAGGTAGAGGGGGCACCTATACAAAAATATAGCAACTAATAGTATTACCAAGCTCACGTCCAAAATAAGGGAAAGTCGCGAGTCCCAGTCGTTCCGCCCTCTCGATCAGGTATTTTAGATCAAACTTGTTAGAATAAAATCCAGTGAGAACATCTGGATCAAACTGGAAATAATTATCGGGCCATCAAGCATGAGTCAGCTTTTTTCTTTAACATATTGTCTATATCATATATGTTGTACTCACCTTGAGTAGAAATATGCGCCATTTACTTAAAAGAGCACGCTCCGTCTCGCACTCTACAACTTTGACGCCGTCTATAGCAGCGCATGTATCCAAGGTAAAAACTATTTTCTGCTTGATCTCAGCATGGTCATTTCCTACATTTCAGCAAGAATACATATGGTTTTGATTCCGGGTAAGCACGGTGTTTTTTTCTTTCTCTTCGAGGAGAGAAAAGAACCGTTTTAAAAAATCAAAAGGCGTGTACCATAGTAATTCACTGCGACACCACTAATTTGTAAAACAGAATCATAGCGTGCTTCTGGGGCAGAAAAGTATTCTCTAAATATGCATTCAATATCGGTGCTGAGGATACGCACAGCCGTGCTTTGTGGGATGATCATGCAAGATCACAAAATTTGCATAACGAAAAAAGAAGAAGAATACAAGACAACTGATGATCTTCTCTTCTTATAAATTTGGACTGATGGGAAGATGCGCGAAATGATAAAACGAGACAGCTGCTTGTTTTACGCTGAAATTTCAATTCAGTCGAGAGTTGATCCAAGTAGCAACAATGTATCACTGCTTTTCTGAGTTGACCCGGTTTCATCGCTCTTGGAGACATCTCTTAGGGACATCAAGTGCTCGCTAGACTATGGTGCTTTATCAGTAGTTTAATTACTGGTAATACATCCAGTCCAGTGCGCTACAGTATTCCGTAATGACCTCATTCCTTCTTCATCCGGCAATTACTGTCTAACAATTCAAGGGTCATCGCTATTATTGAATAATGTTCTTCAAGCTAAAGTGTCATCATATGAGCGAGTCCGATACATACAGTAGTCCTGCCAATATGTGCTTATTAACATCAGGAATCATCATGATACTAGAACATGCACGTAGTTGCCACATATTAAGATTTTCGATGTCAGTTTGTGCATGACTATCTATCGCTGTCATCACTGTAAAATCCAAGTGATCCGCACCTCCCAAAGGATCGCATTACATTCTGACCCAAGAACTAACAGGCTATTGATTACTTAGTGCATTTAGTATTTCATTAATCAGTGATTGGATGGGTGGGGGGATGGTGGAGATAAATCAATGGGCAATCCTGCGGACTCTCAGCTGCTATATAAGATAAAGCGTGACTACACCAGCCGCTGCATTGTGGTTGTATATCTTTCCCGCTCTCTTTCGCGAATATGAAATCTCGCCACGAAGTATTCCCCTCCATTCTCGATAATGACTTGTACAAATTCACCATGCAGCATGCTGTGCTGCAGCACTACAAGGATGCAAAAGCTGTCTACCAATTTACCAATCGAGACAAGGATCTGCAGTTGAATGCTGAAGCTGTTGCGTGGCTTGATAAACAGATCAAGGGTAAATTGTTGCAAAAAAGAAACATGAAAGACCAACTTCCCAAACGCAAGAAAAGCAAACCAGTTAATCCAAAAAATGGATATAGATATGGCCAACCTCGAATTGACGCCCGAGGAACGTGAATACATTGCCTCGTTTGATTTCTTTGACGAAAGCTATGCCAATTACCTTGCCAAGTTCCGTTACAGACCCGAAGAACAAGTTCAGTACAAGTTTGATCCCGAAACGCGCGACTTTGAGCTTGAAATAACGGGTCTTTGGCACGAAACCATCCTGTACGAGGTGCCGTTACTGGCATTGATTTCCGAAGCTTACTTTAAGTTTGTCGATCGCGATTGGAATTATGACGGACAGTATGAAAAGGCACTCGACAAGGGCGTCAAGCTATTGGAAAATGGCTGCAAATTCTCGGAATTTGGAACCCGGCGAAGACGGGATTACAAGACCCAAGATATTGTGGTACATGCTTTGGACGAGGCTGCAGAAAAATGCAAAGATGCCAAGGGCGTGTTCAGTGGCTCTAGCAATGTCTATTTGGCCAAGAAGTATGGTACGCCTGCCATTGGTACCGTAGGTAATTTACTGTCCTCCATTTTATGTAGTAGAAGAGAAAAAACTGAACCTGATTCTAATATGAGTTTTTTGTACTCTGATCTACAGCCCACGAGTTCTTTATGGCCATCTCTGCTTTGGAAGGCGTAGAGCACGCTAACGGTATCGCTTTGCAACGCTGGTATGACACATACAAGGGGGCACTTGGTATCGCATTGACAGATACGTTCACGACAGATGTCTTTTTGCGCGATTTCAACCACGACTTGGCTACAAAGTACGCAGCTGTGCGACAAGACTCTGGTGATCCTGTTGAATTCCTCCAGCGAATGGTGGACCACTACAAGTCGGTTGACGTCGATCCAAAGAATAAGTTCATTGTCTTTTCAGACGCACTCGATGTACCCAAAGCAATCAAGCTGCAAAAGGCTGCACATGAAGCAGGCATCGGTGCTAGCTTTGGTATCGGTACCTCTCTTACAAACGACTTTACCAAGGTGTCGAACCCTGAGCAAAAGAGCACCCCGATGAACATGGTGATCAAGATGAAATACTGCAATGGACAACGTGTGATCAAGCTTAGCGATGATGTGCTCAAGCACAGCGCTAGCGATGATTTGGTTGATGAATTGAAGAAAAAATTGGGTATTTAAAAGCATCACACTATATAATAAGCATATCGTCACTCTCCTCTCCCTCTCCTCTCCCACATCACTCCATTATCAGCCTACCTACATGCACAACTTTTGCAAATCAACTCTTTTAGTTATACTGATTGAAAGAAGGAAGAGTAATCGATAAACACAAAACAATAATAATAGATATTTAGAAACTTGTAAAACATTTTAAGCAAGAGTATAATTACGTGAAAGACAGTGTGTTGATGTGTAAGTGTGCTAAATGCAAAAGATAGACTTAGTGGAAAGGAATGCGAGATATATAATATGTATAATGCACGATAAAAAGAGAGAAGAGAGAAGAGAGAAGAGAGAAGAGAGAGAGAGCGAGGAGTAAGAATGTCAAGGTGGATGGGTACTTCTTGAATTTTGGTTTTTAAAATGGATCTATAGGTAAAGAATTGCGCGTGTAATGTGGTGTGTATATGTGCGTTGGATTAAGTTAGGGGCATGATGCAAAGGTGGTAGAGAAAAGTTAACGAGTAAAGGGAAATCACTTGTTGGGTGAAGACGATGGCGGCTGTCTTGGCCATAAGTAGGACGAGGCCCATTGAGCGATATGGCCAAGGATGGTCGGGTTACTGTCGCTACTGTTGCTGCTTGAGCTAGATTCGCCGTGTGCATGATGGATATCGGTCACCTTGTGATAACTGGACACACGAGTGATGGATGGCTCATCGGCTTCAACTGGACTTGGCTCACTCACTGCCACAGCCTTGCCCGGAAATTGTTGGCCTCGTGGATGACATGGCAACGGTGCTGCTGGTGATGCGGGCGGTGGAGAAGCTGGTATTGGTGCGGCGGGTGGCAATGGTGGTGATGGCATTTCATTCTCGTCGTGAGTCCAATCGTCGTCATCAAAGCCGTAGTCATCATCATAATCAGAGGGTTCTTGAACATTGTAGACGCACGACTGACCAACCCACTGGATGGCGTCTGAGGAGGAAGCGGAAGATCCAGACGACGGGATATAGTGTGCTCGTCTTCGGATCTCCAATTGATCGTCGTCGTCGTCTTCGTCTTCTTCATCCGACGTAGTGTGCACATTTTCATCAAAAGTATCCTGACCGACCATCCACGAGTAGTTGTTGCCACCTGTCATGGACGAAGCGGACGACGATGACAATGACGATACCTCATCCGTCTCCTGCTCTGATTGAGAGCTTGTCTTGAGGCGAGCGGGTGCAATCTTCTTTATGGATGAGCGTGGCTGGTTATCATAGTCAAGCACAATTGCATTTTCGTCGTCGCTGTATCCTTCTTCTTCGTCTTCTTCTTCGTCTTCATCTTCATCCAGTATATTGGAAAACCTTGCCCTAGGGCGGTGTCGTTTCCGGTCCTCGGTATCACTGAGTGCAACGCATTGTTCCACGTGTTGGTTGAATCGAAGTTTCGGTTGGCGATGGGTAGCGATAACGGAGGGTGAGAAAGCTTTGAGTTTTTTGTTTGCCTCGGTGAGTGATAAAGATGGCTTGGAGGACTGTTGTTGTGGTTGCTGATGCTGATGCTGATGCTGTTGCTGATGCTGTTGCTGTTGCTGTTGTGGTTGTGCTTTTGGTTGTGGTTGTGGGTGCGGGTGCGGGTACTGCTCCTCCTGATCGTCGTTGATCTGGTTTGCCTGCAATTCGGATGCCGAGCGTCGCAGTAAATCTGAGGCTGTCACTTTCTTCAGCACGGACTTGAGTGGTTGGCCAGGCCGACGATGGTTTGTGGTCATCAAGCCCAAGGTATCTTCAGTGGTTGCAATCTTTGGCTTAGCGTATCGATCCTTTTCTTCAATGTTCTTTATCACTGTGTGGAGCGGGCCATATAGCCATGTTACGTCGCTGTCTTTAAGCCTAGTGTATGTGCACAAAGATTACACAAAGAAAGTATGTTATCAGTAAAATATTCTGTCCTCTCTATTTCAACACCTGTAACAAAAACTGTGGTGTGTTCCTTACCAGTTGAGCGTCTCTGGACTTACAGTGCTCAAACGGTACTTGTGCTTTGCCCACGTACGCCACGATGCATTCTCAAGTCGAAGGCCATTGACAATATCTTTCTTTTGTTTGGTCATGACACGCCATGAGGCAGCGAGATCCATTTCGTCAAAGCGATACGACAAATAGTCGACGCACATTTCGGGTGCCCGGACAGTGCGGTTCCGCGTTTCATAGTCGTCACCAATGGATTGCTTCTTCTTGGGTAACATTGCAAAAGTTAGAGGCGGGAAAAAACAACGAAGTAAAAAAATAAAAAGAGAGAAAGAGAGCGGGTAATGAACGTTAACAAGCACACTCACACAGAGATTTTTTGCCTCAACGGCTCTTTTTTTTTTTATTTCTTCGCAGTTCAGACCTTTTCTTTATTTGTGTCCTGCAAGCTAAAAAGACAGGAGCGGATCGGGATGGGAGGGTAGAGGATGGATGATTTAAGCAGCTTGTCTCTGTAAGTAATCATGTCATCCTTGCCCTTATCTATCATTCAACGTGCTAGCAATAAGTGGCCAAGCGCACAGTAGTGCACTCTAAGAAGAACTTTATATAACAATGATGACAGGATAAGGAGAGATCAAGATCACCATCATGCATCACTTCTTCTTTCATTTTTACTCCGTAGCACAAGAATCTGATTGCAAACTTGTTTGTTTTCATCAATTTCTTGGAGCTACAGAGACGAGGGAGAAAAAGAGAGAGACAACAACAACAACAACAACAATTCGGGCTAATGCATCTCATTAATAGAAAGATGCATGTCGGCTTTACTTATTTATCGGCAGCTAGAAGCAGCCAGCAGTTACTAGATTACCCACAACATATTTTGCTGACAAAGCTTCCTATAGACCCGCTTAAGCAAATATGCGAAAGAAATCATATTTTTCGCTATGACGACAATGATAGTTTCCTAGCAATCCATCCGAAAAGTTCCATCATCCTTGTGTACTGAGTCCGAAATAACAAACACTAACACCAACTTCTGTACACGCTTTTACCCCGCTTTTTTTTTTTTTTGTTCATTCACTACACAACCAACATGGGCTTCTTCATTCGTTCATTGGTCGCCCAAAATTCCAAGCACGTATGGCGTGCCTATTCAACTGCTGCCTCGGACACCACCGTTAAGGCCATGGTCTACTCTTCCTATGGAAAACCGTCTGAAGTTTTGAGGCAAGTGTGCACGCGCGTACGTGTGCTATTGTTATATGGGTGTATTTGTGCTTGTCGACGTGAGGGTGGCGATAGGAAAGAAGGATCGCATATTTACCACCAATAATAGATGGCACACTTATCCACTGCCGTCCTTGACGGATGATACTGTGCACGTGCGCTTCCTTGCCTCGCCCATCAACCCAGCTGACGTCAACCAAGTCCAAGGAGCATATCCGCTCAAGCCAGCATTCGAACAGCTTGGTGATGCCAAGGCAGCTGTGGGTGGTAATGAAGGTGTTGCTGAAGTAGTTGCTACGGGTAAGAACGTCAGCTCGCTAAAGGTTGGTGACCAGGTTGTGATGGCACGCAGTGGCTATGGCACATGGCGCACACATGCCGCTGGTCCACCCGAAGACTTCCAGCCGTTGCCCCAATCCACAAACACATCGGTCATTCAAAAGGCCACTATTACTGTGAATCCATGTACTGCCTACCGCATGCTGAAGGACTTTTCGCCTCTGAAGCCAGGTAAGGTAAAGCACGCATTATCTCTTACTCCGAGTTACTAAAAACTAGTCGGGAAAACGAACAGGCGACTATGTCATCCAGAACGGTGGCAACAGTGCAGTTGGTCAGGCCGTTATCCAGATCGCCAAGGCATGGGGTCTCAAGACAGTGAATGTGGTGCGTAACAGACCCGAGATTGACAGTCTCCGTCAGGAACTCATGGACCTTGGTGCCACGCACGTGGTGACGGACGAAGAGTTGGGCACGCACGAGATGCGATCAAAAATGAAGGGCTGGTTTGACGGAAAGCCTCCGCTTCTCGGGCTCAACTGTGTTGGTGGCAAGAGCGCCACTGAGATGGCTCGCTATTTAGGGTAAGGACAGAGAATGAAAATGAAAGGGCATGTCACATTGGAAGGTATTAGTCTGTGGAACATTGAATTATGCGCTATTTAGACACAATGGCCACTACGTGACCTACGGCGCTATGGCCCGCGCACCCTTGACCCTGCCCGCATCGATGCTAATTTTCAAGAACATCACCTTCCATGGCTTCTGGATGACCCGATGGACTGATCAGAACAGCGCCGACGAGCGGCTCAAGATGTTTGAGGATCTGGTGGGACTCATGGACAAGAACCAATTGCGCGAGCCCCGGTGGGCCAAGGTTGAGTGGAACGAGGATGCCATGAAGCACGCGGTCGATGCTGGCATCCAAGGTTTCACACAGGGCAAGCAAGTCGTGTTTCCAACTTCGTCGTAAATAACTAGATTTCCTAAAAATATTTCGTGCAATTAAAAAGCAGACCTAAAACTATTTCAGTTTCCTCTCTTTCTCTCTTTTTTCTTTTGCTTGTACAAAACGATGCCGGCAATGACCATGCCTGTGCAGATTGTCACCCCTTGTCCCAAAAGACCGGCGTCGTCGTTCAACAACCAGGAAGTGCAAGACGCTTGCCATCAAGAACTTCGGCAGATTTTGTCTTCTTCGACCCAGACAATCAACAGTGTGCAAGCGAACAACAACAACCCTACGACGACAGCTCTCAAACTCCCAGAGAGACAGCACATTATCACTCGTGCGGACAACCCACTTCCACAGGACATGTCGTTCTTTACAGCGATTCAGCCTTGTTTGCCGACCAAAGGTCCTCATCGACCCAGATCTTTCAGTGTTGGCGATGCCCGCAATTGTATCTTTATCAAGAAAAGTAACGATTTGGTGCACTGATACCCTCAACCCTAAACCAACATCCATTGTCTTTTTCTTGAAGCTGTCTTCTTGTACATAATGTTCAATAAGTGTCAAACACAAACAAACCACACACACACTTTTATACACACACACAATCACCCTCCAAGTACAAACAACATCAATTTTTATTCAGTAGTAGTAACGCTTTTTATGTCTATATCGCCAAACACAACAAACTTGTATAAACCCCAATTTCTTCTATATAAACTTTTCTATATCAATCCAAAAGGCTCTGATTAGCACCATATAGCCAAATGAAATGGCATATGATAGCTGCAGTTTCTCTGGTTTTGCGCCTGCTATTAGGCTCCTCTTCACGTTCTTTTAAGATTGAGCCGACCAACAGCTGCAGTAAGGGATTTTTCCTATTATTTAACCATACGCGCATAAGCAGGGGCACCTTTGCTCCTGCATTTGATTTTCTTTTATTTGCCAGGTCCACACCAATGACCGTCTAGAACCCAATGTACCGCCCACTACCACTACTATTCCACGATCCACTAGGAGATAGGAGAAGGCGCACGTCTCATATTCGATACCTGTGATAATAGAATGCCTTTTACATTTATTAAACTTTGCTTTCACTTATTATATCTTCCTCGCATCTTACTTGAAATAACATTAAACGAGTGATATTTAGATAATGCCAAAAGAAAAGGACGAGGTACATACAGGTGATATATCATCGTCAAGAACTAAGTTGAAATATATATCTGGACTCGCCTTCTAAGGGCAACGGTGCAAAGTTTGAGATCATCAGGACGCCAAAATGGTGATGACCATTGTTCCGACTCGCATAGCAACCGGAAGTTTTGAAAACAGTTTTAGCCATCGCTCAGCACCATAGATTCCATATTTACCCTTCTCTGTGACGTTTGGCTATGGATTACTATACAGTCTAACCCAAGCTTACCATAAGGCAATAACAGTTGAGTATACTTACCACATTAATCCGGCACACTATTTTTCAAACTGAAAGGCTAAATTTTTTGCGTTCAAAACACATCGTGGACTTGGTTAATACAATATACTTTTCTTTTGTTCTGGGATGACCATGAAGTCTCTCACTACTTGCATGCTGCTTAGCTTTGATTGTCCTAGCGTACACATCTGGCCAGAATTGGACCAGTTCTACTCTTGCGTATGTTAATGACTACAAGCATAAACAGAAAACCTGTGACAAAGCAGAAAATGTGGCAACATACAAAGTGTCCGAAGAAAGCGAAATCGCGGACACTAAACCCCTACGGGTATGTTAGTCTAGTAGCAAGAAAAAGGAAGACGAAGAAGGAGAACCCGTCCATCTTTGACCTTAGCACCATATACGCCATAAAAAAACCGACGTTGATAGGAAACGGCCATGCCCTCTGCAGTATTAGTGGTTCTGTAACAAGCATATAAGTCACTGCTCCTTTGCAAACGTGTTCTTACTTTCTGATCTACATCAGCGAACCCGACATCATATATCATAACTCTATCACTTTGATCCCATGATATTTCCATCATCGACCTCACTTCTCATTACGAACACTGTATATATCATAATTCCGATTTTACCATTCACCATTGCTTAGTCAATATTTCAGCTTATCATCACAAGCAGTATATCTTTGCATAGCACACCCCGATTTTAGCAGTCGTAAAAATAAAAAGAGTAGGGCCAACGGGACTCGACAAAGGTTCAAGACAGTTTTAAATCACTTCTTTTCTTATTAGGCGATGGTTAGTCAACCAACTTGATAGGAAGTATTACATTATCGGGTGAACCTAATAACCGAATCTTAATGATTAACACATTTGAAGCTTATAGACGGCTGTCTATTATTCCATAACAATCCTTATGGAATCACAAACAGTCGACCCTCTTTCATATCACACCCATTAACTTTCAAACCTCGCTTATATTAGAAAAGTTTTTGAAGTTTTTACCCGTTTCCCTTTTGATCTCGCAAGCATACGTTATGTACTGAGGATGAGTAGCTAGGATTTGTCGTAACGTTGCCGAATCCGAGCTTCCAGTCAGAACTTCTCCTCCTCGGATCAAGCGTAGTGAGACTTTTAATAGTAGCACTTGAAAGCTCTAAGCAAATTTTCAGCTCAGCGTTAACGCGAGTGTGTTCTTCCAAGTTGTGTTTCACAAGATCCTGTTGCTGGAGTTGTGCGTACCACAAAGCTACTGATCATAAACGATAAGCTCGAAGGTTGTATACGTGCTAAAGGGGAGAGATCTGGGTCATGATGCACATGACAGTGCTTATTATTATTCACTTGGCAGGGTACATAAACCGAGGATCCGTATTGTAGATCTCTATACCCCTACTTTCTTCCAAATTTGTCTAGAGAGATCTTGCATGAAAGCCTTATGTAAACATTCAAAGTAGCTAAAGTTTACAAATATCAGGATAGCATTCAAAAAAAGAAAAAGTCAAAAAGAAAGTGACTTCATTCAATGAAGGTAGCTGCTATATAAAATACAGTAATTACAAAAAGCTAGGATAGATGAAAAAAAAAAGATTTGGTATATCGCAGTTACAAGGCCGGCAACTCGTACAGTAGTAACAGGCATGGGAGCAGGGAGGGTTGTTGTCGTTCAAGGCTACAAAATAAAATAGAAAATATGATACAAAACTGTTTGTGGGATGATGGTGGTGGAGTACAAAGACAAAATAAGAAGCGGAAGTTATGAGAGAGATGGGGGTGTGGAAGAGGCAGGTGGGAAAAGATAGATCGAATAGTCTTCTCAGCATGGATCCTTGGATTCCTTGAAAACTTTTTGACGCCGGCTATGACATTGCATCGGCTGCAATTTTCTCTGCCATCATGGCAACAATGGCAGCGCCAACAATCCGTGAGTGTTTGACGATACCCACGGATAGCTTGGGTGCAATATGTGCTGGAATAAGTTCTTTGATGGTTTGACAGACACGTGGGTGAAATGATGGATAGTCCTCATAAAGTTCACCACTGATGGCTATTGAAAAAAAAGAGGTGTTTAGAAGAAAAGCTCAAAACGACATTTTCTTTTTCACAAGCACAAAAACTTACAAATGGAATAACCATCTTCGTCAGAGAAGCCAATCCCATGTTCGACCATATGTTTGACCAAGGCAGCAATGGCTGCGCCCACCAGAGTGGACGCACGCATGCCGACCAGCTGACAAACACGGCGAACGATCTCACGATCGCCCAGCGTGCTTCGCGAGAGGTTGAGCATGTCCTCAATGACTATACGGGTATCTTCTAAATCGTCCGAATCGTCTGCTTCACACACATACATGTAGCTCGTGTCGAATCCGTGCTGTCGATTCAATGTTTCACTGGACTCGCCGCCAAATAGCACGTCACGGTCGACGAGGTAGATGAGAATGTTTCTGACCAATTCGCCCAGAGCAATGCCGGTCGTCATTTTTTCAAACACGTGGTATTGCGGGTTGATGGATTCCCGGTCTAATTTACGGTCGAACCAAGTACACGGAAGCGTTCTCCGGGAGGACCCAAAGTTGCACCATTCAGTGTTGATGATCATACTGCGTCGGTCGTTTGGTTGTTGGAAAGATGGATCCTGGAGCTTTGCGACATTTGAAACTGCCTCGTAGTAAGCGCAGTTGGTTCCTAAGCTGTGAATAATGCCAAGACGGGTCGACGAGTGCTGGTATGCGTGCGCCAGTAATACACAGACGGCATCTAATCTCCGGAAGAAATATATTTGCATCCCATCAATTAGTTGGTTCTTTTGTAAAACATTATTATATGGCAGTGAAACCACTTACCATTTGTAATGGCGACGACTTTGATGGGGAGGCCCTTGATTTGCATTCGTTCGTGCATCAATTGTACGATATCGACGCCTACACCGTTTGGATAGCTGAAGCCGTGGCCGAGTGAGAGAATGCGTCCGTTGTTCAGTGCGGTCTGCTTGATGGCGAAGCACAGCGAACATGCCATCGGGTACACAAAAAGATCTTGGGTACCCACTCGACCCAAAAAGTCAGACACACATTCGACAACGTAATCGATCAGAACGACAAAGTCGTCGCCACTCATCAAGTCTTGTGGGATCTTGTACTGGTACTGGTTAATAGCAAGCTTGCCGCCCTCGCCTTTAAGTTTGACCTGGCAGGCGTAAATGTCCATTCCAATGATTTCTAGCGCCAAGTAGGTGCCTTTCTCCTGGCCCGTTGGGTAACCTAGGCACATAGGATTTGAGATTTTTTGTTTTTGTGTGTGTGTGGTGGTCGTAGTGACGTTCCGATGCGTTGACGACATAAAAATTGTTGTTTTGAGGGTTAGTGCACTGTCCATAAGCGAGTGAAAGGAAGAGGGTTGGTGGAAAGGGGATGAAAGCAAGATGTATTTCATTACCAGTGACAAACGATGGGATCATGTTCAGATCGCTTGATCTGTCATCAAGGAGACCTGCTTTGAGCTCCCTGTCGAACTGGTCAATGACACCGTCAAGGGTTTCTCGGTCGAGACAGAACTGTCGCTGAAGCTCATCGAGGGCTAGCTGTTGGTGTTGATTAACATATTTCAGTTTTTCAAACGGAATGGTGGGGCTGCCCATCGGGAAGACACTGGAAAAAGAGGGGACCGAAAGGTTCTTGTCCCGGCACCCCACACTTAACACCAAAAAAATTGCAGGCTCATATTACGATATTCGAGTTGCCCTTTTTCTCTTGTGTTGCTCTTTCTGCGTGTGTGTGTATGGTGTATATATGTGTGTGTGACATGATTACTTTCTCAACTAGACCACATGAGCTTGGGAATCCAATTGGAGCCGCTTCTTTCTATCTCATCTGCTCCCTCGTTGCTCTCCATCTGTTTGCTATTGCTTGTGATCCTTTCTCACTCTGTGTTTAGCACGGCCTTTTTTTTTTTGGGTCGCTGAATCCTGTCAATGTCTTATTTTAGTGGATGAGCTTAAATCATTGGTCAGTAAGTCTCGAGCGTATTAGGAATAACCTTGGGCCGAAACAGCAGCAACACCCTTATGACCCCTTCCTCTTCATCAGGGTCCAGCCTACACTTCTGGATGCATCAAAGACTAATTTTAAAAGTTTCTGCCACCACCTCCACCACCGCTGCTCACCCTCTTGGTCGCTCTCACTTTTTCCCAACAGCTGATTTTAATTCGAGAAGAAATAACATCCTACGTAGTATCTCCTCCACACACACAAACACACGCGCGAATCGTATTTATTTCCTTTTATCTTAATGTGATCCGAATTCCCTCGCACAGTAGTGATCAGCTGCTGTCTGTGCCTGACGGGTAGCTTCTTCCTTGTCCTTGGAGCTCCAATCATGCTCTTCTGCATACTTGACAATCTGGGTTGCTGCAAGCGCTGCCACGGACTGTTTCAAGAAACCATGGTTGAAGTCCTCGCCCTTGGCCTCTTGATGACGACGGTACGCCTTGACCGCCTCAAACGCAGCTGCACCGGCGATCAATTGGTGCGACAAGTGGGCCTTTCGTTCCGTTGGTTCTGTGTACACTTCTCTGTGCACTTCAGCAGCTGGTGTGCATGATGCATGAGTGAAGATAATGTCACAGTGCGTACATAATTAGTATTTAGCACACGCTATGCGGTATGACAATCAGCTTTTTTTCTCACCTTGCTCGTACGGAATGGGGGCTCCTGAGCTATAAGGATCCGGGGATCCGTAGCCCGCAAGACCTGATTGAGGCGTCGTGCCATAGGGGTTGCTACCATAAGAATTGGGCGGTGGCGGTGCACCGTAAGGGTTGGGCTGTTGATCGGGAGTCGTGCCATAGGGGTTGTTGCCATAAGGTCCGCTGACAGGTTCAGGCTGGAACGGCTGGCCGAATGGCTCGATGATCCACCTTTGGTTGTCGTTGTCATCTTCCTTGCGCTTGTACAAGATCACTTTGGTACCCTTTCTGCTGCCTCCACCCTACACATTGGACAGTAGTAGCAGTAGCAGTAGTACAAATCCATGCGTTAGTAATAAGTCATGATGCTACATTACAAGAAAGTGATCATGCATGACAACACATGTGAAAACTCATCCGCCTCTGCTCCTTTTTTTGCTACTTACTCTGATATCCAACACCATGCGCGGATCGGCCAAGAGGTGGATGAAGCCGCCATCATATCCCCATCGTTGGTTCGATGCCCTATTGTCGATTGATGTTCCCACACACAGCTTAAGCGATGAGCATTCTTCCCCATTTGATATATCGGAGACGCTTTGTGGTTTGTAACAGTAAGAAACAGCTTACATGGTCATCTTGCGCTCGTACTGGATCAGGGGCGTGTCGGATTGGGTTTCACCTAATATTTATTTTACCTTCGAGTTGAGTTTCATTTGCTCCTTTGTTCATGCATTCTTTCTGTTACCTCCTCTGACGTCAACAACTAGCGAGACAAATAACGTGCGTGAGCATACATTGTACAGAATATGATGGATGGAGCAGTAGTAATAGTAAGCTCTGAATGGGTGCACACTTACCCATCTCGGACTTCTTGTTGATAAGATAGCCGTCCTCGTAGCGCCACAACTATCAACAAGCGAGTGTGCTCACGTTAGGCATTTTGAGTAGCGGTTGTCAAAGTGACTTTTCAGCTAGTAATTTACCTGATTCTCGTTATCATTGTATTTCTGTATAGCACAAGCATGATATATATATTAGCACGGACAACAACCAGAGTCATCTCACCCAGCGACCTGTGCACTTTACCTGAGGCCAGATAATCAACTCAGTATCCGCCTACATGGACGCACAAAAAAAAAGTGAGGAATGAGTTTCCAACATCCACCTGACCAAACACACACACGCCAAAAGATTAAAATAACAACCGCTGTTTCTCCATTGTACACATCAACGACATTTTCGCCGAGCGAAGATTTGATGTAAAAGTACGTATGTGTTGGGAACATTGTCTGAAAGTGGGAGCCAGTTAACGCAGGAAGAAAAGTGGAAGAAAAGAGAGTATCGGAAAAGCGGAAGAAGAGGGGGGGGGACATGCATTTATTATTTATGTCATTAGCTAGTGTTACACAACGTCAGCTTATCATGTCGTCAGCGACTTTCGAAGCTCATCCGTTTCATCAGCAGAAAGAGACAAGAGCTTTGCTAGTACTGGTACCATAAACTATATAGAACGCACAAATAGCACAATCGTCAGAAACCTACATCCCCGTCGAGTTATTGAGTTCTTCTATAGAGTACCTCTTTGTTTTCAGATTGAAGGAACTTCAAGAGCACGTTCTTCAAGTATTCGATGCTCAGGTTTTGCCGGCGATCGAATGAATCGAGTTTCCTATTTGCCAAGACAACCCAGAAGCTTAGCTTCTTGATACTAGTAATGACGATGTAAATATATATATCTTGCAAGATCTATACCTAATTTCTTCCTTGAGCACCTGGTTAGAAAAGGATAAAAAAGGGATGAGCTAAGAAACCTGTCATGATGATTGTTATGCATCACACGGATATCGCTTTTACCTGTTCTTGGGTCCGTAATGCCGTAACCCGGTCCTCACTTTCATCCAACATCTCTCTGAGCTGCTGCACCTGTCTTTCTAAATCGACCCTATTATCCGACGATCCAGTATTGCCGCCACCGCCAACAAACGGAGAAAGCAAATGACTCATGGATGCTGTAATTGAATAATTAAAGAACGGAATGGAGTTAATTGCCTGATTAATGCAAATAATCCCGTTTAGTCCTTTGCTGTTTCTGTATTGAACGGCAGCACGTCTGTGTAGCGCGTTGTTACCATAAACGTCAATCGCCACAGATGCATCTTCCGACGCCCTTGCTGGTCGTGTCTTTTCTTGTGGGATAGGACGAGGGGATGACGTTGAAGGTGATTCATCTTTTGTTTGTGATGGTGACGAAGACTGCGTTAGTTCTGCAAGCTCTTGTTCTTTTGCTGCAAGCTGCTGCCGCAATTGCGAGTTTTCATCATGCAGCAGCTCCATGATCCGATCCATTGCTTCTCTTTCCTCGTTGCTCTTGTCTTCCTCTGCCAATTTGCTTCCGTCGCTGTCTTTGCTTTCTTTTGCACGTTCGAGCGACTCTTTTAATCGACGTAGTGCGGCTTCGTGTGCTTCTTCTGCTGTCTTCATGGCTAAGAGAACACGGTGTTACACTTGTTGGCTTCCCACTTTTTCTTTACTCCTTTCGGCAGATTCTTGAAAAAAAAAGGTTACCCTGTTCATGCGCCACTCTGTCTGCTGACATACGTTCTTGCAATCGATGGATCTGGGCCTGCTTGGCACCAATGTCTTCCTTGACTTTCACCAAAGCCTCATTATCCGCTTCGAGATGTTGTACACGCTCCAATGCTTGTCGGATATCGTGTTCTACTAACTCGGTTTTTCGTGCATCATCCGCCTTTTCGGTTTCCAACTCGCTAAACAAGCCATTAGTTCTCGAAAGCGTAAAACGCGTTCCCTACAAACTTACGTTTTTTCAACTCGAAGCTGTCGTATGGTATCCTCTAGCTCGGACAAACGCGCCGATTCTGTCTGAGCATTGTTGCTTTTCTGCAATAGCTGGCTCGCTCGTTTCTTGTATTGGTCATAATCGGTACGTGTTTGTTGTAGCTGCGTCGATAACTGCCGGACTTTGCCTTCCTTGTATGAAGAGTGAGTGTCAATTTTATATATGAAAAAGAAGTATTTATCTTTCTATAAAACGCACAAACCCTCAGGTCCAAGCTCTTCAATGCTTGGAATGTATACATACCAACTGCTTGATTTGAGAGATATACAAGGCCTTTTGACTATTGACTTCCGAGTTGAGCTTTTCCGTGTCGCCTATAACAGTTATACAGTCAGCAACAAAAGATCATTAACGGGGGATCCGTTTATCCGTTTTCAATATTTCTTTACGTGTCTGTGTTTCGGCATTAGAACGCAGTTCCTGTTCACGAGCCTGGCATTGATCCAAATCGTCCCGTAAGCGCTGCAACTCCAAATCTTTGGCTGCAATCGATGCTCGGTATCCGTCGAGGTTCTTGGTGGCCTGCGCGAAGATCTCTATTGTGTTACAGTTCATCGTATCTTTTTTTAGAATCTGCGAGAATAACAATGCTACATCCTTTTTCTATATGCAAATGTACCTCTCATCTTCTTCATCTTATCATCATGTTCTGCTGTTAGAATACAATCCGTTAGGATAAGTATACAACCATCGCCCTTTTGCAATATAAATGACTCTTGTTCCGACTTATCACAAATCCTTCCACATACATGTCCGTGCTGCCAAATTGTCCTGTAGTTTGGTGATCTCATTACTCTTGCTGGATAGCTGATATTTCAAATCCTTGACCTATAGTCAAACGTAAATAGACATTATCTCCCATGGTTGAGTGTTCCAATTCTTTGAAAAAACATAAACGAACCTACACACCTGTTCGGATAGATGAAAATTTGTCCTTTCCAACTCGTGTCGAGAAGAGTCTGGTGTACCACTACGACGCTGAGAGCCTGATCTTCCTAGAGGTGCTTGCTATACTCGAAAACAACAATAAACCCGCATTCCTCTGTTGAGTGTGCGATTGCAGATAACGGATTTATAAATGGTATAATCTCTTGTGTACCTTGCTTCGTAATTTTGGCGATTCCATTGCAGTGGCATCAAGTGGATCATCTTTGCTCACAACTTGTGCCCTACCTTGTGTAGGTGATTGCGTACTAGCTGGGCTGCCTGGCATGGCTGGTGTTTGTTCTTATTATTCTGAAATTCGAGCTGCTTCTAACAGAAAAGTGTTGCTGAAATAGCCTGACTTATCTCCTTTTGTGAAGAAAAGAAATCAGAGCTGCTGGGACATAGATTCCCCCGCCTCACTTAAAATCATTTGTCAGGCAACAACCTTCCTCCATACAGGGAATCCTAATGGCTTGTTGACGGTCGCCCAATATATGGAGCTATATAGAAACGAATAAAAAAAGATCAAAATAGTTCCGCATCCCTCACTTTCTTATCTTTAAAATATACTACTAAGAGCATCCAATGTATAAAAAGTTATAAGACGCATGTATGGTTGTTGGTGCGATTATTACAGGATAAAGTATGAGACAAATGTGAAGGTATGAGGTATGAGACAAATGTAAAGGTATAAAAAAAGTCAGAATTTGATGTTTGTAGGTCTTTTACGATCAGTGCTTGACTGTCTGATAGCATGAATGGTGGTAGAGAGGTCGAATGGCGGCCTGCTATTAGTTATCTAGCCATTTGAGATCTATCAGCCATATTATAGTTGGTAGATTTATATATTGTAGTCGATATAGCCATCAATGACCGAATTAAACATTTACTCTGAGTCATATGAATAATCTGATTCTTCATTCATTTCATTTTGTTCCTTAATATACATATCATGATATTCATTAATTAATACTTGCATTTTCTGTTGTGTTATATTAACAGTATATTGATTATTTTCTTCATTTGCATTTACTAGAATAATATAATAGCTAAAATATGATTTGAAGAACTTCTTGTATGCATGTTTTTCTCTTTCTAGTTTATTAACTATTTCATCAAAAAATTCATATCTACACATGTCCTGTAATGTATCTATACATTTTGAACATGCTGTCAATATATATAAAATCAACATCACTTGTATCACAACCACCCTGTGGGGTAACCACACTGGAAGTGTTAATCTCTAAAATTGCATTGTAAATATGAGGATTTAAGACTTCCTGAGAATCTTGATTCTTAACAGATATATCCTCAGTATTTACATTCTCCTAAGAATTTAAATTTTTAGGTTGAATATTTTCTTCCTGAGAATTTTTGTGTTTTAAATCTTCCTCATCTACTTTTTCATAGTAATTATCATAAATATAACATTTCTTTTGTAATTTATATTTTTCCTTTTTTAATTTTTCAATTATATCATTCATTTGACTATAAATTTTATAACAGTTTTTTGTTTATTTGCAGTTTACAAATTTGATTTAGATGCTTCTTTCTGTTTTTCAGAAGCTTTTCTCTTAATGTTTAATTTATTTTTCTTTTCTATATATTCAATATATTTTTCAAATAATTTTGTAACTTTTTTGTATCAATAACAATTTTATCAATTATCATTATTAAATGAAATTTGGTTTGTAGATGTTGACACCATTGTAATATATTCCTTCCTTTTTATATAAATTAAATTCACTTTTTATATTTTTAAAATTTTGAAAAGTATGCATACCAAGATATTCATATATAAATCAATCTAATATTAAATTAATTTAGTTATTATAGCAGTTTTTCTTGGCTATCTATCCTCCTATGATCCTATCTGTACTAATAGACCATTGCATAATCTTTATTATAGCTTCGACTGATCCCCAATCCAGGCAATGAAGAAGTGAAAGAGGATACTTCATGAGGACAGTTATTCCAAAAAATATCATACAGATGAATTAGGGTGTCCAAGTTGTCTTATGTTACAAAGCCATCAACTTCTTAGACACTTTTTGGAAACGTCATGTCCAAAACCTTGACCATTACTGTAATGCTTGTGTCTGGTATCAATGATGAAATGTACATGGCCATGTGATTGTCTAGAAACATATGTTTGTCAATTGTATAGAATAAATAGTAATTGAGATGATAACTAACCACATATTTGAAAGCTAATGACTGAATTCACCTTAGATTTTGATAACGACGTTTTCACCAAAAGAGCCAAATGGAGAATGTCTTGACTAGGGGTCGCAATTGGACGGGTCGGGTCGGGTCAAGGGTCTGACCTGTTGACCCACGGGTCACGAAAACACTGACCCGACCCGACCCGCTCAACCCGACGGGTCAAAACTCGGGTTGACGGGTCACTACTGATTTTGATTTGGTGACAAAGGAGGTTTAAATCAACCTGAGCTTGAGCACTGGAAGTGCAAAACTACATGTATACACAGCTCTCTAGGATGATGGCACACAAATTTCTAGCAGTGCTAGCAATATCTACGTTTTGTGTGATTATTCTTAAAGGTAAAGGGTTTGTGCCATAACAAAAGAAATCGTTTGCGCTCACATGCATTAAAGAAAGCATAATGGTTAAAGTGTGGTTAAAAATCGACTTCCTTTAAATGCCCCTAATCCTTTTCCCTTTTCCCTTTTCTTTTCATTTCTTCCTTCTTCTTTCATTTCTCTTTTCTTAATTCCTTCTACGTCTTTTGTCAAATCTCGTCTCTCACTGCCACTCTCTATTGTCTATTCTCATTGTACTATTGCTACTTCTTTACTTTGCTACTTCTTTACTACTATTACATATATTGCTTATAGCTTACTTATCTTACACTTTTGAATATAAAATATGATCCCACAATGAAAAAGAATATAAGTACGTTTTATGTTACAGTTCTATAGCAGACATATTGACAACTACATCTTTAATATAATGATCCTTTCCAATAAGAAGATTGACTACTTGAATACAAGTACCTCATAGATATCATATGTATACACAGGTCACAACGGGTCAACGGGTCGGGTCAAGGGTTAGACGGGTTGACCTGCGGGTCAGAAAAGCATCAACCTGACCCGTTGACCCGTCCTCAACCCGTGGGTCGGTTTTGACCCGCGGGTCAGATTGCGACCCCTAGTCTTGACCAAGTAGATCAAGATTTGCTGTTGGTTCACTCCTACTGATAGATACACAATAAAATTTAAATTCATTTTTAACCGTAACAATATAACATCTCTTATTTTTTTTATACACAACAAATAAATACCTCTTGTTCTTCATCACTTCTTCTCTTTCGATTCTGCAGTTAAAAAAACAATTTTGTGTCAATGAAACTTGTATATTACTCAAGGTTGGTTAGAAACATATTATACGAAACAATTACTGAATCACTTATGCTATTGCTACTACTATTACTACTACTGCTTTCTGCTATCACTACTTGTACTGCCCAGGCTCCTTGAATTGTATGACCGTACTAAATATATAACTCTCTCTTGCTCTAAGTTTTATAGCTCTACCTGTATATATTATTGTTAGATGTGTCCTAAGATAATTGATAGATATTTTTTAAATTTAATCTTTGAAACTTATTAAAAAGTAAAATTTGAATATTTTTAATAACATTAAAAATGTTTACTGAGCCTTATTTAAATTTAAAAAAAAAATTAATAGTGAGGATACAGCAATATTATATTTGGTAAATAATAATTATATTAATAAATATAAGGAATGTTCATATTGTAATAAGAAACAAAATTATATTTAAATTTGAAAATTTATAGATATAGAAATTATAAATGTAGGAAAGCATTTTCACCTTTAAAAGGAACAATATTTTCAAAAATAAAGCTTCCTCTGGATTTACAATTACATATATTGAATTATATCTTATTAAAAATGCTATATAGTAGTATTGCTGCAACTTTACAAATAAATAGAAATACTGTAACATTATATCATAAATTATTTAGGAAGTATTTAAAAGATAGATTATATTTTAATAAAAACAGAAAAATAGGAGGTCAGAATAAAATTATTGAAATAGATGAATCAAAAATTGCAAAAAGAAAAAATAATAAAGGTTATAAAGTTGAAGGTGCTTGGGTTATTGGAGGCATTGAATGAAAGTCTTTTAAAAAATAAAAGAATTATTTTTAGCTCCTATAAAAAAAGGGATATTATTGGTATTGACAAAAGTATTGTAAAATATGTTAAAAAAGGAACAATAATATATACAGATGAATAGAGAGGCTTTAATAATTTAAAAAATATAGGATATAAATATAAAACTATGAATCATAAGAAATATTTCAAAGATCCAATAACACAAGCTCATACAAATACAATAGAAGGAATATGGAATGGATTAAATAAAGTATTAATTCAAGAAATAGAAATAAGAATGATATTCTATTATATTTAAGGGAATATTAATAGAGAAAATATAATAGAGAATAAATATTTGAAAATAATATTTTGAAGATTTAAATATAAAATTGAATTTTTAAATATATATTAAATAGATAATCAGCTATTATATAATGATAGATGATAATCCATTTTTGAATAAAGATATAAAACGATCTTTTATTCCTGGAAAATTATTTAATAATAATAAGTATCAATATCAATTAACAGATGTAAATTTAAAATTTAAAATTTAAATTAATAAAAATTTTAATAAAATCATCAAATAGGAATAAATATGAACATTCATACATTCATCAAATGAATTTATAAAAGAGATTAAGAATTATAAAATTAAGAATAACTCTAATTAATAATAATAAAATAGATATTGATTAATAGTAATATGAAAAATAAAAATAAAATATAAAAGTATAAATAACAAAATATTAGAATTTCCTAAATAGAATATATCAGCCAACTACCCATTATTGTTATCTTTTTTATCTTCTTCTGTGCATTTTTTCATATATAATATATACATTATTGACCATCTGATGAGCAGAGGTTTCGACAAGTCACTCTACTTCCTTCTCCTAGAAAGTGCTTGTTGCTATGGTTGCCTTTGACGTTCTAATGTTTAAGCTTAGTACACATTGAAGTTTAGGAGTAGTTTTTTTCTTTAAAAAATGAAATTTTACCTGCAAAGATTGCTGTGGTAAACCACACTACTTGAGATTGATCCGGACAACTCACCCCACTCCGCCGTCTTCGTAACCATTAGAACGTAGTAGAGAGAACACCACACACACGGATGAATCACATTATTACATAATTAGCACCATATCGATAATCTCTCAAACATGGATTACCAATCGAGAATAACTCAGGACCAACCATTGTATACACATTGTCCTATTCTCGAGTTAGTCAGCACTTCCTTTGAATCTAGCTTATCTGAGTTGAGCGAAGTGTACCTGTCAAAGAGCGGATACCAAGTCCAGCACTGACAAAGGTGAGACTTCGCCAAACAAGGAACACACTGATCACGGCAAAGATGACTCTTTATAATCGGAAGACAACGTCCATTATCATGGCCGACAAACTCAACCTTCCCATCCTTCTTCATCTTTGAAACATCCGAAATCCGGCATGTCCGCGATCCATTCATCAGTTCATCCAAACGGAAGTCTAGACACCATCTTCAACAGTATATAAAGGGTTGTGAATTCAT